CTACCTCTTGAAATGGTTGAACAGCAACCATTTCGTTTTGGTACTTTCTGCATAGTTCAATATTTTGCCCATAGAATCCTTCAATGTTGCCAGTTGAGGCTTGAATTTTTTCTTCAGTTCTTTCAGCTTGAGAAATGTTGAGTGTGTTCTTCCCTTTTGGTTTTCTAACTCCAGGTCTTTGCACATTTCATTATAATACTTGATTTTGTCTTCTAGAGCTGCCCTTTGAAATTTTCTGTTCAGCTTTTCTACCTCCTGATTTCTTCCATTTACTTTATCATCTCTATGTTGGAGAAAATTTTCAGAATCTCTTCTGACATCCATTTTGATCTTTTCCTTCGTTCTTGTCTTCTTAATGACTGTCTGCTTTCTTCCAGTATGATATTCTTGATGTCATCCCACAACTCTTATGGTCTTTGGCCATTAGAGTCTAATGCATCAAATCTGTTCTTGAAATGACCTCTAAATTCAGGTGGGATGTGCTCAAGGTCATATGTTGTCTCCTGTGGACTTGTTTTAAGTTTCTTCAGCTTCAGCCTGATTTTGTATGTGAGCAGTTGATGTTCTGGTCCATAGTGTGCTCCAGTCTTGGTTTGGCTGATGACATGGAGCTTTCCCACTGTCTCTTCCAGCAATTGTAATCATTTCGATTTCTGTGTATTCCATCTGGTGAGGTCCATGTGCATAGTAGTTTTTATATTGTTAAAAAAGGTTTTTTGTGATGAATAAGTCATTGGTCTTGCAAAATTCTATCATGCAATCTCCAGTATTGTTTCTGTCACTAAGGCTACATTTTCCAACTACTGATCCTTCCTCTTTGCAACCTTTGCATTCCCATCACTAGTAATTTATCTATACATCTTGATTGCATGTTTGATCAGTTTCAGACTGAAGAAGTTTGTAGAGTTCTTCGATTTCATCATCACTGGCTTGAATGGTAGGTGCATAAATTTGAATACTGGTATTAACTGGTCTCCCTAGTAGGCATATGGATGTTATCCTATTACAGACAGCATTCTACTTCAAGGCAGATTTTGAAATGTTATTTTTGATGATGAATGCAACGCCATCCTGGTCAGTTTGTCATTCCCACATAGAAAGCCATATGGTTGTCAGATTCAAAATGGCCAATACCAGTCCATTTCAGCTCACTAATGCCTAGGATATCGATCTTCGTGGGTTCCATTTCATTTTTGACAACTCCGAATTTTCCTGGATTCATACTTTGTACATTCCATGTTCTGGTTATTAATGAATTCTTCAGATGTTTCTCCTCATTTGCATTGTGCCCCATCAACAGATGAAAGTCCCGAGAGCTTTACTTCATTGTTGTCATCATGGTCAACTCTACTTTGAGGGCACAGCTCTTCCCTAGTCATATTTTGAGTGCCTTCCAACCTAAGGGTCTCATCTTCTGATTATTAGATCTGATAGTATTCTGGTTCCATATATGATGTCTCAGTATTCAAATTCCGGGGTTATCTGACAGTGTTCCACTGCTATTCATAAGGTTTTCAGTGGCTAAACATTCAGGATTACTCCACCTCTCCTTCTTCCTAGTCTGTCTTAGTCTGGAAGCTCATCTAAAACCTATCCACCATGGATGACCCTGCTGGTTTTTAAAATACCAGTGGCATAGCTTCCAGAATCACAGCCACACGCAAGCCCCCACAGTCCGACACACTGACAGATGAGTGGTGGAATGGGTCATATAGGAGCAAGAATTACAGTATAGAAATCAAGAGGCAGCATTTTCCCACTTTATCGTTAGACATATTTAATCTATAAAAGTTCTCATGGATCCAGAGAGGGAGAGGGGCTGTGTGTTGATGACCCTGGGGGTGGGGGCAGGCTTGCAGGGTATACCCTTTGGTTGGTTGATGATGCATAGAGGGGATTGTAACCGTGGCAATGAAACGATAGACGATAGAATG